TTCTGACCCTGGGCTGGGGAGGGGGCCACGAGAGGAGGGGGCAGGGGGAAGAAGAGAGACCGCCTTTCGCTGCAAAAAGAAGAGGAGTACTAGTGGCACCTTAGAGACTAACCAATGTATTGGAGCATAAGCTTTCGTGAGCTACAGCGCACTATCACGGCTGCTACTCTGAGACCTGTCGCTGCAGTCACCTAGCTCACCACAGCGCAGCGTCTGCGGCCTGCGGAGAAGGGTCCCCGTGCCAAAGACCCCAGCCAGCGGTTACTCTGGACTGAGACACGACGAGTCCCACCCGCGCTGCAGCAGCAGCTGCCCCAGGGCTCCCGCGGCGATCAGGCCCCGCCAAGGGGCGGCGGCCGTCCCGGCCTAGCGGCCCGCAGCACGGCCTCCCCGGCTCCGGGGCTGCTCCCGAGCCGGGGACCCGCCCCGTGCAGCGCGGCTCCGCTCTCACCTGCGCTCCGCCCCTGCTGAGGTGAACCAGGGCGGCCGAGGCCTCGTGCACCTCGCTGCCATCGAACACCCCGCAGCCGGCCAGCACCAGGGCCACCCGCTTCCCCATGCCGCGCTCGCTCGGCTCGGCTCGGCTCGGCTCGGCCAGACACCCGCTGCAGGACGCGTCGGGAACTGCGGGCACCGGAAGCTGGGGACTACACGCCCCGTGCTGCTGCCCAGCGGCCTTTGTATTAGGCACGACAGGGGCCGCCTCCAATCCGAGCCTCGGGGACGGGCAGGGAGCGGGGATTTGTTGATTTGGAGTCAAGACGATAGGAACGGACCAGCCATAATGTCCCTAAAGGGAATATGCCTGGAAAGTGCTTCAGCCGCTTCTGATTAATAATCACAGTATCGTCTGTATTCCTGAAGCACCTAGCAACGCCAAAGAGCAGAGCCCCATCGTGCCAGGTGCTGCGCAGAAAAGTAGCCAAGAAGCTCGTCCCCATCATCTACATGTCATGCAGTGCTCAACAGCTGGCCCTTAACAGTGTTATGGGCACTGTAAGGTCTCTGTCTCTCACGCTACACAATCTGGTTTCCTGAGACAAATTATGAGTATCCCGCTGCAGTTGACGCTCAGTAAATATGCATAAACCAATTTTTCAAGGGGCTTCCACTTTTCCTGCACACACAATCCATGTTCATATTATGGCCCTGATCCTGCAGAGATTTGTGCTCACACTGATTTCAAAGGGACTAAACTGTGCTTAAAATTAAGCATGTACAGGAAACTTTACAGGATTATGGTATATGTGCAAAACTTGGTCTTTCAAGTTAAAAATCAGGTACCTGACTGCCTGATCTACCACAAAACAAATGGGTTTTGCATGTGAAAGTGTACTGAATAAATGGTAAACACATATGTAAGCATCTATTTGTCCTCTGTCTATTTTGCTGGGTATGCAACCACCGCAATAGTTTTTCTACAACAACCACCTCACATATGCTTTGGAACCATTCTTCTAGTTTTGGACTATTTATTTCCAATGAGAGCCTGTCATGAGCTTTCTTATTTCTTCTATCTGGCTACTTGAAGTCTCAGTCCTTCATTAAATCATTCATTTGGGAATAGTAATAACAAGCACCAAATGCAAACAGACACATCTTATTTCCTCTCCTATATTACTTCAGTATTATAAGTGAAAATGAGTTGTAATCTGCATGGTTCATGGAGCCTTAGATCTGCTTTTATATAGCTGTAGAAGCTGTTGTGTATTTTCCAAAATGAATCCAACTGAGCTTTGAATCCCATGGAACAATCTCTATATATCAGATTCATCAGCTGTGATCCAGCTACACTTATAACTTTCTGATTGGATGGTATAGTCTGTTTATATGCTGACAGATGCGTGCTTGAACATAAGTACCATGCAGAGATGTTTTTGCAAAGGCAGTTTTAATAACATAGCAGCTATTGCTTCCTTATCAAGAGTCTCTTCTCTGCAACTATTAATGCATTTTTTCCCCTTCAGCTTTATAGAAACCTCACTAAGGATTCTCTTGCTGCAGAAGTTCTCTCTTGCCTCTTTCTTTCTTTTTATTCCTTATAGCCTCTGGCCCTCTGTCATCCAGAAATGGGAAAGGTGCTGGTTTGTATTGATAAGTCACAGAGCACCAATTCAAATTTCTTCAACAAAATTTTTAAATTTTATTAAGACACTTCCAGAGACTGAGATCAAAAGAGCAATCTAACTAGCTCCCAGAAGCTGATCTCTATAGCTGCTCTCAGCTCTTCTGCATTGTTTGTCTGTTGATAGAGGACCTGATTCCACTCCATTTAAGTCAAGAGGAGTTGCACGGGGCCCTTAGTTAGTCAGACTAATTAACTAGACTCAGCTGCAGACTCAGAAATAGCCATGGGCATTTATTCCAGAATTCATTAACGTTGTAGTTCCTGGATTAAAATATTGTGTAAAGTACATACATGAAAAGGCAGAGCATGTAACCATGTCAGTGTTGTCTTGGACCTGACTTCAATGCATTCTGTGCAACAGTCTGGGTAAGACTTTCAGTAGTCTTGCCATCTTACAGGTGTTTTTTAAGAACACCCTCAACAGCCCTGTCTTTACTTAATTTTAATGTTACACTTGTTTATTATTTGGATTTGTAGACAATCCATGCTCACTTACTGTAGGGCAGTATGGCCTAGTAGATAAAGCAATGGACTGAGACTCAATCAGGAGACTAGTTTTTTTTTCCCTAGCTCTGCCAGTGACCCATTGTATGAGCTTGAGCATGTCACTGCACTTCTGTGCCTCAGTTTCGCTGTCTGCAAAATGGGGATGATGATGCCTACACCTTCCTTTGTAAAGCACTTTGAGAGCTACAGATGAAAAGTGCGATACAAAAGCTCAGAATTAGTACATGCAATAAAAATACATGCCTTTCTGGACAAAGCAGGTAACATTCAATATTACAATACTAAATGCAAGGCAGGAAACAAATCTGAATAAAAGAACAGTTTAGTTATAGAATCTATCTACAAAAACAGGAGCTCCACAATAAAACGCATACAGATACAAAGAAAGATTAAAACACTAACAGTAAAATTGGGTATCAACTTAATATATCAGTATAAAACTATAAATAAAATCAATGTGCCATGCTGACGGTCTTCTGAAATTTGAACATTTTACAGAGGCACAGGATTGATCTGGGGACCAGTAATAGGATACAGACCATTTCACCTCTAATTTGCTGATTTAAGTTTAGCCCAAATTAGTAGCCTCTCTAAACTGTCACCATCTGATGGCTCTTTTGTGGTCTATGTGAAGATTTGGTGGTGTCCCTGTAGGTCCTCATGGACAAGGGTCCATTTTACATCACCACTGCAAGCAAAATCAATTGGCAGTTTTACTAAAGAAGCCAAAGATTTAAATGGGCCTGGCTATTGAACTCAGGCTCATGAGGCCTGCAGTTCACCCAGCCATTTCTGCAGACTCTAGTGTGGGCAAAGCTATGGTCACTGTGAGGAGGCCTCTGGAAGACCAGCTCTCATTGTAATGTTTAGCCTGAACCTCTCTTCTAAGAATTAACCTTGCTCCCCCTCTACCTGTGAAGAGAGGAGAAAATATACTACTGTCACCTCTGCATCAGGCAGATCTTGCTACTAGGGGGAAACCTTGCCACTGAGTTCTGTTCCAAAGACTGGCCATTGGTAAAAAGGAAAGGAGTACTTGTGGCACCTTAGCGACTAACCAATTTGTTTGAGCATAAGCTTTCGTGAGCTACAGCTCACTTCATCTTATGAATCCGATGAAGTGAGCTGTAGCTCACAAAAGCTAATGCTCAAATAAATTGGTTAGTCTCTAAGGTGCCACAAGTACTCCTTTTCTTTTTGTGAATACAGACTAACACGGTTGCTACTCTGAAACCTGGCCATTGGTGTATGCACTGGGTTCCCCTTCATGCAAGGCATTTTCCCTGCAGGGAGAGGGGATGAGGCTGTGTGGTTTATTTCAGCAAAAACCTGCTGCAATCTGAGTAGGTTTGCCAAGACATCCCTGCCACCACAGGAAAGTCCTATTGCTGCGCTGGTTCAGACTGTTTGGCCTCTCAGTGGAATTCCCTAAGCGTGAGAAGATGGATGTGCTGGGCAGACACATTCTCTAACAGCACAGAAGTGGCATTTTCAATGATAGATCTGGTATATTAAAGAGCCGTGCTTAAACCAGACTAGAGAATACACCATTATCCAGCAGACCGACACAACCAGAAACCTAATCTGAACAAGTGATATTTTTTCCAGGTTATTCAGACAAGTTACCATTAGAGGGAGAAAATTATTCGGTTGATTATTTATTTCAATTGTTTCTAATGCTGCTTTGGGGACTGTCTCAACGGTGACTGTGCAGTTAGAAAATGTCTTAATTATCCTTATCATAAACATGATTTTGTACCTGGTGTAGACCAGGCCAAGTCACGTTTAAAAACATGTTACCTTGTTGTGGTTAACCTTAGGTGTTTTCGCAAAAAGAAATTGCCACAAGTACTCCTTTTTTTTTTGCGAATACAGACTAACACGGCTGTTACTCTGAAACCTTAGGGGTTTTAAATATAATTGCTCTTCCTTATCTACACTAGGTGGAGAGTCGATTTCACACCCAGTTAGTTAAGGTGCACTCTAACGGTGAAGCATTTTCCCATTAAGTGGATGGAATAGGCAAAGACATTCAATTTTTTCTTTCAGTCCCAGCAGTGCACCTGGTATAGGCACTTTTCCCAATTACATCCTACAGAGTCTCTCCATCAGCCCTGATCTTGGCACTTGCAAATGATAAATCAAAGATTCCTGTATCTTCCAAGTGGTTCAATAGTAAATGAAGTGTCTAGCCCATCCCACCCCATCTCATTTAGGGGGGAAGTAGGGGTGAATCCAAAATAGCAGGCAGTGCAGAATAGCAGGGACCAGGGTTGGCTGGTACCAGATTTTCCCTCCATTAAATAGCTAAAAATGCAAGCAGTCCCAGCAGGGATTCACATTGAAGGGTGCATATCAGTGTTAAGGAAAAGTTAGCACATGTGACTCCATTTTGGTTTGGGGCCCACCATTGTTTAAATGCCAGCACATCATACACCAGGAGGAGTAATCCTTAGATATTGAATCCCTGTGAAAATCCTCCTCCTTGTCTCCAGCCTGCCTTGACTCCCAGTATCTGGTTTTTGTCAGTCTCTAACTCCCTGTCTCTTGGCCTTGATGTGAGGCCTCCCATCCTGATAATAAAAGTTACTGATGCATAGCTTTAGGACCATGCTGTGTAATTAACATACTGGTATAGCACGAGGAATGCACCAAGCAGGGATAGGTGGTAGATAAGACAAGGGTTTGTTTATTGGCTAAGGTTTCCGATGCACGAGGGCAACATGCTTTGCTAAAAGGTATATAACCTTTGTATAATTTGCATTCAGGGTCCCCTCCTGGCTAGCAGGGGGGCACCACGCTCGAGCGTAATAAACTTAGTGTCTTTTGGGAACTCTGCAGTTGTGGACTTTGTTTCTGTGCCTCAGCCTAGATTCGAACTGTGCGTGACCTATCAGGTATAATTCGCAGCACTTGTGTGCGTGTCCTACCAGGTGTAATTCGTAGCACTTGTGTGCGTGTCCTACCAGGTGTAATTCGTAACATCAGCAAAGCAGCAGCAGCGGCACAGAGCCAAGGTGAGGCTGCAAAGCGACAGTGAGGATGGTTTCCTGGTTGGAAGAGGCCAGGAGCCCAAACACACCTGCAGGCTTGCTCCGCCCCAGTATTTCCAGCTCCAGCTGCTTGTCTCGGGCTCCTAACTCACCCAGGGCCGCTCACAGGAGGCAGGCTCTGAATGGACGTGCGCGCAAGACCCAGCAGGCTTGGAAGAGCCACCCGCGGAGATGAGGCGATGCTGCACCTGGCGCGGATCACATGTAAACAGCTTGCTGACCCTGGTCGGCGCCGCCCCCGGCCTACCGCCCCAGTCCAAGCCAGGCAGGCAAGTGTGAGTTAAGTGCTGGTCGGTGGTGGGGCGCTGTATGAACCAGCATTGGTGGTGCGGGAAAAAAAAAAAAATAAAAAGCCAAAACCAAAAGACATGAGCCCCTCCAACTGACCCTGCAAGGGCCCCACAACTGTCCCTGCCAGACTCTCATGTGCCTCCTCCCAACTGCCCCAGCTACGGACCCCACCATGCGCCTCCACCCCAACTGCCCCTGCCAGGGCCCCAAGCGCCTCCACTCCACTGCCCCAGGCAGGGCCCCATGCACCCCCAACTGACCCCAGATCTCCACATGCATCTACTAGGGTTGCCAACTTTCTAAGGGCACAAAACTGAACACCCTAGTCCCGCCCCTTCCATAAGGCCACGCCCTATGCCCCGCCTTCTCCGAGACCCTGTCCCTCCCCCCTCGCTCACTACATTCCCCCTCCCTCCCTGGCTTGCTCTCCCCCAGCCTCACTCACTTTCACTGGGCTGGGGCAGGGGGTTAAGATGGGGGAGGGCTCTCACTGAGGGTGCAGGCTCCAGGGTGGGGCCACAAAGGAGGGGTTCGGGGTGTTGGGGGGGCTCTGGGCTGGGGAGGGTGAAGGCTCCATCTTGAGGTGCAGGTTCTGGGGTGGAGCCAGGGATGAGGGGTTTGGGGCGCCGGAGGGGGCTCCAGGCTGGGAGGTGGGGAAGAAAGAGGGACCCAGGCAGAGCTGAGCTTTTAGTAAAATAAAAATAAATAAATAAATAAGAAAAGCGGCGCCCGGCCGGCGCGGGCTGCAGCTACAGTACAACCAGCCCCCCGCCGGCTGGTGCGCCACCCCCCCAGACTGGATGCCCAAAGGCGGACCAAGAAGTTGGCCGTGGGCACGGTGCCACCCCCGCAGGCTGGCAGCTGCGACCGGCGCTCAGTCTGCTCCCTCCCCGCCCCCTTGCTTGGTGAGCCAGCCCCGGGGCGGAGGCGAGCAGAGGGCGGCGGGGGAAGGAGGAGGAAGCCGAAAGCGAAAGGAAAACGGAGGCCGCATAATTCCCCCGCCCTTGCCAGGGCTGAGTCACGGAGCCCATGTGACGGGCGGACTCGAGTCCGCTGCCTCGTCCCCACCCGGGGCAGCTTCAGGCGTCCGGACCAGCGGCCGGGGCCTGCGGGAAGGGGCCGCGCCGAGAGATGAGGGCTGATGGCCTCCGGGAGCTGCTGCTGCTGCTGCTCGTGGCTGGGATGCCTGCCCGCTTTGCAGGATCCCAGCCCCAGCAGCAGCGCAAGTGGCCTGTGCCTTACAGGTGAGTTGGTAGGCTGCTCAAGAAGCAAGGCTGACTCACTGTGTGTGTATACACACACACACACACACAGAGTCAGGCAGCCGAAATCACGCCCACTTTGGGGTTTGTTTTAGACGCTTAATTCAGAGCCTCTTTGCCTCTCCTCTTTGGGTGAGTGTGTGTAAACCAGACATCATTGTAAAGCTTCCTTGTTCAGGGACTCACAGGGTTAAAAAGGCCTACGTTGAGTGTCCGCCTGCAGCGCTACAGGCACGCTTCCCATTTAGTTGGAAATGACCCCTGGATTTGATTGCAGAAGTGGCTAATCAGAGGTATACACCCAGGAAGAGTCTCTGTTCGTCCAGGTAGCTCTTTTTGAAATCAAAGGGCTGATTTGTATCAGTAGGGACTATCCAAGTGAGTAACAGTTTGCAAGTTGCAGTTTTGGTCAAAGCCTTAAAAAACTAAGAATGGCAATACTGGGTCAGACCAATGGTCCATGTAGCCCAGTATCCTGTGCTCTGACAGTGGCGTCAGCTGCTTCAGAGGAAATGTATCATTGGTCTGATCCAGTGTGGCCATTCTTATGTACAGCACATTATAAATCAAGCCATCTCTGAACTGTTTAAGCATAGAAACTGCAACTACTTACTTCCCTTCTTCTGCCTGCAAAAGATAGAGTCTTAAACCAATACAAAAAACCAGGGACAGTCTCTGAAAACAGGTTTCATAACTCCAGGAAGTCATTGTGCTTCACTGTTTTGTGAAAAGTTGTGTAACTAATTAAGATGGCTTTTTTGGTTTTTGCTTTTCAAAATTCCAGTCCAGATTGAGGAAGTGTGTAATGGGTCAAGAGCAAGCCTGAAAATTGCAGAGTGCTGAAAAATGTTGAGGTCACCATTGATTTCTTTTCTGCAATGATTTTCTTTCTTCTAAGGGTGTTTTTTAAGTGCCCTAAAAATTGGAACTTCTGTGTCAGGACTCGAACCATTTTAGTCATTTTTTTTCTAGTTCTAGTACATTAGTAAATCTAGTTTGCCAAAGGACTGTTTAAGTGAGACCTCTGCTTTTTTCTGATACCTGTTTTAGTTTGGTAGACTCCATCCTCCCATTTCATTATTGTACATAATAAGGTGTTAATAGTGATATAGTTAAAGCACCTGGCATGCTTTCCATTTAAAACTCAGATTTCCAGAGAGACTATAAATCTGTACTAACGATTCCCTACTGGCAGCAATTGACTCCTTTAAAAAAAAAATTAAAGTTTGGGACTTACTTCTTTTTTAAGTCATTCAGAGTAATTCCTTGTTTGTCAGTAGCATCATATCAAATTCTCAATTTATGAGTAAGAGGATAAGTCCTGTAGACTTGACCTGGAATCTGAAAATCAACCTGTGTTCTTTCTAGCTGGTGGATCTTGGCCACAAACAGTAATAAGTGCCCCAATTTTCAGTGATACTTATCATTTAATTCTCATTGTAGTAAGTAGGAGCTGCAGCTGCCTGAGGCCTCAGAAAATCAGGTCAAAATATTTTGTAATTGGAACTTAGTTAAAAATTGTTATTGATGCATGAACCAATATAGATTCCTGCTCATTGTTCTATGGCTGTATGGAATCTTCAGTGCTAACAGAAGTTAATTGTGCCATAGGATTTTTTTCTTTAATTTAAATTAAAATTAAATATTCAGTGTTATAAAGTGAGAAGATAAGATTCTGAATACACACAGGGAGCTGATCTGTTGAAGGTGATATTTTTGCATAGCCACTTTTTGTTTTTCCTAGGTAGGCCTTTGAGCATCTGCAGCCCTTTTTGGTGAACCAAATATGTTAAATATTTTCACACACATGCTCTCTCTCTCTCTCTCTCTAATGCGTGTGAGCTAATTAACTTTATTAAAGGTAGATACATAAGATTCCAGTCCTGCAAACACATGTGCTTAACTTTAATGCCAGGAGTTGTCTCACTGATTTAATTGTATTGAGCTATATGCCATCCACAGAACAAATTTTAATCTGATTGATTATTTTTTTATTTTCAATTAACAAATACAAAAGCCTCAAAGAAACTCTGCAATCAAAATTACAGTGGCAGAATATTTAAAACTCAATTCTGTATTTCTTTCCTCTCCTCTATAGCTGGAACTTCCTACCAGACATAGAATATCATCTGTGTTCAGTAGTAAGTTTCAATCCTGCTTCATAGCCTGTACATTTAACAAACAAATGGAACTGTGTATGTGATTGTAGGAGGATTTTGGGAGAAGGGATAGTAATACATGTAGAATTTTTGTCTGACTTACGTGGGGAAGGACTTGTGGGAGGGGGTAGAGAGGGGTGTAAATTATTACATCTAGTGAGTGTATGAGGGATAGGGGGGCAGTCAGGGGCAGCAGGTTTGTAGAAATTTTGGTGATGCCCAGAAACAACCCCCCCCTTCCCCCCGCAAACTCCACACACACACCAGCCTAAGGCTCTGGGAGGGAGTTTGGGTGGGGGAGGGGGTCTGGGGTTCAGGTGATTGGGGTACACGAGGGGGTGGGGATGCAGGCTCTGAGAGGGAGTTTGGGGTGCAGAACGGGTGAGAGGTCAGGCTCTGGGAGGGAGTTTGGGTGGGGGAGGGGATCTGGAGTGCAGGCTCTGGGAACGAGTTTGGGTGCTGGGTGCAGGCTCTGGGCAGGGGTGCGGGAGCAGGTGGGTGTGCAGGCTCTGGGAGGGAGTTTGGGGACAAAAGTAGGTGCAGGGGAGGGGTGGGAGTGCAAAAGGGAGTTGGGGGAAGGGGGTGCGGGGTGCAGGATGGGGGTGAGGGGTGCAGGCTCTGGGAGGGAGTTTGGGGGCGAGAGGAGGTGCGGGGGTGGGGATGCAGGAGGAAATTTGGGGTCCGAAGGGTGTGTTTGCAGAGGGGGTGTGAGTGCAGGTTCTGGAAGTGGATGGGGGGGTTCGATGCTTACCTGGGGCACCCCCTCCGACAGCGGCTCCTAGGCGGGGCAGGCCGGGGGGTCTCCTCATGCTGCTGTCTCCAGGCACCGCCCCTGCAGCTTCCCATTGGCCACAGGGGTGTTTGGGGCGGGGGCAGCGCGCAGCAGCACAACCCCCTCACACGGGCCGCAAGGACCTGCCAGCAGCCACGTGGAACTAGCGTGCAGATAGCCGCTGAGCCCCGCTGCCTTGCTGGGTGGCGGCGGGAGCCCGAGGGCTATTTTATAATCGCCTGGGGGTGGCAGGTGGGGCCGGGGGAAACGCGGGGGGAGTGTGTGTGTGTGTGTGTGTGGTGGGGAGGTGGGAAACTTTGCTGGAGCTGGGCCCCTGGGACAGGAATATTCCTGGTGCATTGGCCCATAGAACTCGCTGCCCATGGGGGCAGTGTATTCCCAGTATCAAAGACTGATTACTGAATGCTAGAAAGGAAACAAAACACATAGTAACTGAGGGATTGTTCCTCCATCCACTGAAGTCCGTGGTGGGGTTGCCATTGACTTCAGTGGGTGCAGAATTAGGCGCTATGACTTCAAACTTGTTGAAACAAAACCAACCCTTATAAAGCATATAGGAGCCTGATCATCTCATATCTTTATTGGAGAACTTTTGCAGTGGAGAAATCATGGTTTTATGTTCTATATTGATAGTACTATACAAGTAGAGTCTGTTTTTCAGTTATCGTGAAAACAAGGTATGATTACCTAGAATGAGGTTTAATGGGAGAGCTGAAAATCTCTGGAGGATATGAGTGGATTTCAGATTCTTAGGCCTTCTTTATATGGGGGAAATTAACTGGTATCAGTATTCCAGAATAGCTGTTCCCAAATAACTCTCTTTTGTCGACACTGTTTCAGAATAAAACTGATCTCATTTCTGAATAATTACTCCACATTGTGAGGAGAATAATTATTTTGGAGTAAAGTCAATTTTTATTCCAGAATAGTGTCTACAGGGTGCTATTCTGGAATACCTATTCCAGAATAGCTATTTCCTGTGTAGAAAAGCCCTTAGGACCAAATTTTGAGACACATCTTAAACCAACCTCTAATCTTGTGACCACAGTGTAGTGTGTGCAAGTTACTTGCAAGTGCAAGTACATTACAGTGCAATTAACATTGTTTCCCACATTAGACATCTAAATGTTATTATTTGCACATATTGAAGACGCTATTTTAAGCCTCAGTCCTACAAACATGCACCTGAGTAATCCTATGAACTCATTTGTGTACGTGTTTTCAGGATTGAGGTATTATGACTTTCAAAGGTGCTGCACACCCATAGCTCCCATTGACTTTAAGGGGAGCCCCAGGTACTCAGAACTTCTAAAAATCAGACCATTAGAGGCTGTTTTGGAAAGTGGCTCTTAAAATAAGTGTCTTTGTGGCTTCCTACCTTTCCTCTGAGAGTTTTCCATGCTTTTGTTTTTAAACGTAGGCGTTTTGATTACCGTCCAAAAACAGATTCCTATTGTCAAGCTCGTTACACTTTCTGTCCTACTGGCTGTCCCATTCCAGTAATGAAGGATGAGGATGTCATTGAAGTCTATCGATTACAGGCTCCAGTGTGGGAATTCAAATATGGGGATCTGCTTGGACATTTGGTAAGGTGATGTTTTCATTTAACAAAAATTTTTAGTTGCAAATCAGTTAAATTCAGCAGCAAATGTCAACAATAGGACTTCATTCATTGTACTATTTCAGCACAGTTGTGTGGAGTATTGAAGGCTATGGGCTAGAAAACCACTAACCTTGAAATGAATTATGGGAGTAATTCAAGACAGATTAGGAAAAGAACATGATGTGGTACTTTTGCCCTTACATACCAAGCATTGGAAATGTATTGTGTGTGCATTAACTTGTATTTATTTGCATTTTTACATTGACTTTAACATCACTTACAAAGAACACCTTTGAGTTGATCCTTTATGACAAAATGTCTGGCTAGTGTGTAGGAAAGATCTTGTTAATCTTATACATCTACAGCTTTGTTTTGTTTTTTTTAAATGAAGAAGTAAGATCTCACAGTAAACAAAGTCTGATTTGAATTAAATTTTGTATGAACATGGATATTGTCTGATCTGGAAAACCAGACTGCAGTCTTCCCTGTGGATCACTCACTGACAGTGTTGCCAACTCTTTTGACTTTTATAACAACTCTTACAATATATGGTGTTTCTCTTAAAGCCACAGCTCCTGGAATCATGTGAATGCAACAGAATCTCAGCTGCTTTTTTTAAAAGTAAGTTTCTAGCCCTCATGGTTGCAGAGGGACGCTTAAATAGGCGGACTCTAGAGAGTAAAAAATGAGAAGGCAAATAAGCTGAATCCAACGCTTATTGTTAACAGCATGAATTTTAAGGTAATTCCATGATTTTGGGGGCCTGACTCATGATTTTTGAATGCTTGTAGTTGGCAACACTGAGGTTTTCAAATGCTTTACATTACTTTGTACAGGATTGGGTCCACAAAAGGAGCTTCGTTTGTTGATCCTTGGCCCACAATTTGGGGGGGGGGGGGGGGATGCAAAGGTAAGAGGGAGTTTGATGCCTAACTACGATTGAATATCTAACTCATAATTACCACTACTACAGGCTGCAAATGGAAGTAGGTGCAGGATACAGACAAGTATGATGTGAATCAATGTTTGTGTAATTTAGTGTGGTACATCCCATTACAGTACCCTGTTTTCTAAACTACTGTACAGTAGGTAAGTAATGCAAAGTGAAGTTGGCACTACAAGACCATTTTTCTTTGTGTTCATGATCTTTCCTCAGAATATTATGCATGATGCTGTTGGCTTCAAGAGCTCTCTAACTGGCAAAAACTACACAATGGAATGGTATGAACTCTTTCAGCTTGGAAACTGCACATTTCCGCATCTCCGGCCTGACAGGGATGCACCATTCTGGTGTAATCAGGGAGCTGCTTGCTTTTATGAAGGAATAGATGATGTACACTGGAAGGAAAATGGGACCTTGGTTCTGGTGACTACTATATCAGGTAGATTTTGGAATCCTGTGGTGACACTAATATCATAATATCATGTCAGACAATATCTTTCCACTCACTTTTTGTGAGTCATTTGCAATGTAGAGTGACTGAAGTTGTTAATTTGAAATTGAAATATTAGTTTTCTAATTTTCTGAATATAGGAAGTGATATGGTAATACTGTCCTTTGAACAACCCATGCTAAAAAGATGCTGTTAAGTGAGAATTGCTTGCTATGTCACATGAGCACCTCTGTAAGAATAATGCAGTCTTTTGAGTGTAAAAATAGCAAAACAGCGGAACCATTCTGGCCTCTTTTCATACACTTGTGTTGGAACACAACCTCCTGCTGTCAAGTGGCAGATGAATTTTAAAATGGAAAAATTGAGAGAATTGTGTTGTGTTCTATTTATCGGTTTGAGAGCACAACAGGAAATGCTCTCAAGAACAGCTACAGTCACTCGTCTCTTTTTTCCAACTGCTGTATCATAAAGCTGCAAATAGGCCTATTACTGCTACTGGGATTATCACATATTGCAGGACAAGTGGTGTATTTATTATACTTAGTCTTTTTGTATAGCTTATCAAAATAGCTTCTTGGTTCATGGGCTCATCATGGCCCCTTAATGTGAAACTGAAATGCTAGAATAAAATAATACTCTCCTTAACAGATACTGAACAAATTGCATGAAAAGCTCATACAAGAATCTGCTGCCTTTTAAATAAAATGTATAGAAGTGTTCCGTATGTTCACCTAGCCTGCTAAGCCTCTGGCACACTCTACAGCAGAGGTGGGCAAACTAAGGCCCGTGGGCCACATCCGGCCACAGGACCAATCTGCCCGGCCCCTGAGCTCCTGGCCCGGGAGGCTCGCCCCCGGCCCACCTTCCGCTGTCCCCCCTCCCCTGCAGCCTCAGCTCGCTGCGCTGCCAGCACAATGTTCTGGGCAGCAGGGCTGCAGAGCCCGTCCAGACCCCTCTGCTCTGTGCTGCGCGGTGCGTGGCTGGCTCCAGCTGAGCGGCGTGGCTGCCTGTCCTGGTGCAGCCGCACCGCCAGCCAGTGGTGCTCCAGGCAGCGCGGTAAGGGGGCGTCGGGGGGTTTGAATAGAGGGCAGGGGAGGGCAGGGGCCGGGGGTGTGGATAGGGGTCGGGGATGTCAGAGGGCAGGGAAAGGGGGTAGAATGGGGGCAGAGGTTCCAGGGGCAGTCAGGGAGAAGGGGTGGTTGGATGGGGCAGGGGTCCTGGGGGGGCAGTCAGGAAGGAGAGGGGGGGTTGGATGGGGTGGCAGGGGGGCAGTTGGGGTGGGGGTTTGGGGGCGGTCAGGGGACAGAGAGCAGGGTGGGTGGATGGGGCAGGGGTTGTCAGGGAATGCGGGGGTTGGATGGGGCAGGATTCTCGGGGGGCCATCAGGGGGCGAGAAGCGGGGGGCGTCGGATAGGGGGCGGGAGCCAGGCCATGCCTGGCTGTTTGGGGAGGCACAGCCTCCCCAAACCGGCCCTCCATACAATTTCTGAAACCCGATGCGGTCCTCAGGCCAAAACGTTTGCCCGCCCCTGCTCTACAGGCTGCTTTTCTTTCTAAGCAGCAAAAATCCGATTAAAACTATGGACTTATGTGCTTCAAATGCTAACGTAATGTATTATTCTACCTAAGTTCCCTTCCATTTTCATCAGCTTGGCATCTCAACCTTTGAGTCTGCAGATTCCATTTGACTGATGCTGCTAAGAAATAAAAAGCAGCCCATATAAAGTGACAGAGCCTTAACTAACTAACTACATGGGTCTCCTCCATATTATTCATACATCCACACCGGTTCTTTCAGATTTGTTGGTAGCCTCTGGTACTGTTGATCATAATGTATTTTTGAACTTTCCTGTGGGTCCTAGCGGGAGTGGTTAGAATATTATTTGTGAGGTACTTTCCTTTTGGGGAGATGCTATGTGCAGTTTTGGCAGGTTGCTCATTTTTCCAAGGGCCTTTTGTGAAGGTAATCCTTGACTCCATTCCATTTTCCCTGTTCTCTGGCACATACGTGAATCTGCTTGGGGAGAAAGTCAGATGGTTTGGGTTGTAGTGCTGCAGCACATTGATGACACTCATACATCTTTTACCTGAATCTCTATTCCTGTGTGTCTTATATAACCATATGTACATGTGCTAATTGGGTGTACATAGGAATTGCCAGACAGCATCAGGTCCATGGTCCATCTACTCCAGTTTCCTATCTGTAACAATGGTCAGCAACAGGTGCTTCATATGCAGATGCAAAAAACCTACAGTAGGCAGATGTGGGATAATCTCTTTCTCCTCCCCCCCCACCCCTCCCAATGGCCTCCTACTTCTTAATTAGAGATTGGCTTAAGCTCCGAAGCATGAGGTTTTATATCCTTTCCAAAAATGTTTAACGTTGATTGTTATAACACTGGATATTCTTGTTGTTCTTGTAAATACCTAATCCCTCTTTTAATTCTTGTTAAATGCTCCCTCTTGGTGACATCCTGTGGCAATGAGTTCCATAGTCTAATTATTCATTGTATGAAAAAGTATTTCTTTTCATCAGTTGTGAATTTGGCTGTATACTGAGCAGTGGTTTTTCATTAATCTGTCTACGTTGATGCCGAGGTTTCTTTCCTGAGTTGACACAGTTACTTTAGAATCATATAAAGTGTACAGGCAGTTCAATTTTCCCCCCCCCTCCAACATGCATTACTTTGGATGTACCAACACTGAACTTCATCTGCAGATGTGCTGTCCATTTATTTAGTTTGGTCCATCACAGTCATCTCTGGATGTGACTATCCTAAATAACTCTATAATATCTCCAAATTTTGCTACCTCACTACTTGCATCCTTTCCAGATTGTTAATGTATTAAACATCACTGGACCTAGCACAGAATCTTGAGGCACCCCACTGTTAACCTTGTGCCATGATGAAAATTGACCATTTCTACTTCTTGTTTCTGTATGCTAACCAGTTTTGATCCAGGACACTAATTTGTTTCTCACCGCAGGGCTACTTAGCTTCTTTAGTAGCTTCTTGTTAGGGACCTTGTTGAAGGGGAGTTGTTTCTCTTTTGCCCGGTACTTTATTGACCTATTCAAAGAATTTTAAGAGATTATTGAGACAACTTCCCTCTGCAGAAACCTTGTGGTTAGGCCTCATCATATCATGATCTTCCAGGTGTTTTATTATTTGGGTTTTAATTATTGTTTCAATCAAGTACAGCTGTTAGGTTTACTGGTGTGTAATTCCCTGGATCAGCCTTGGAGCCTTCTTATAACATAGATATCACCTTTCTGTCCAAAGTATACCGGCTGTTTTTAATGATTGTGTATTTTTGGTAGCCAGTGTGCCACTTCATACTTAAGTTTCTTCAGCACTCTTGGACGTACACTAGGCCTGGTGACTAGATGCTTTTTAAATTATCAGTTTGCTCCATCAACTTGTCTTCTGACACCTCAATGTCTGGTGGTACCTCATGTGTATTACCAGAAGAGAGCAGATCTGAGGTAACTATCTCCCTGACGTCCTTTATGGTGATGACTGAGGCAAAGGAATCATTTGTTCTCTCAGCAGTATCCTTATTATCCTCCTTAATTGCTCCCTTTCACTCCTCTGATGCAACAGACCACCAGTTCTTTTGCAGGCTTCTGATTTCTAATAGACTTACAAAATTTCATAGTTTGTTTTTATACCTTTTTAGCTGTTTGCTTTTCAAAATCCATGTTACCCCCCCTAATTTCCATTTTACATATTGCTTGCTGTAATTTATGTGTGTTTATTGGTTTCATTGGGATTATATTTCCAAATCTGGAAAGATCTATTTGGTTCAAATAACCTCTCTAACCTGGCCATTTAGCCAGACTGGTTGCCTTTTTGCTTTCCTTATGCCTTTTTGTTCAGAGGTATACATGCCTTCTGAGACTGCTATTATTTCCTTATGCCACATCTAAGGATTTAACTGCCTTTACTTTTGACTTTAGGGCATTTTTGACTAGTCTCCTTTTTATTGAAATATTCCTTTCTAAAGTTTAGTGTAATTTATGTTGTTTTTTGGTACCTGACTTCCCCATAGGATGTTGAATCTAATTGTCTTGTGATCATTACTACTTAGTGCAGGGGACCGCAAACTACGGCCCATGGGACAGATCCAGCTCGTCAGGGCTTTAAATCTGGCCTGTGGGATTGCCAGCCCCTCGCTGCACCACGGCTAAGGCAGGGTCCCGGCCTGCTCTGGCCCATGCTGCTTCCGGAAGCAGCCGACACCGCGTCCCTGTGGCCCCTAGGGGAGCAGAGGGCTCTGTGCTCTGCCCTCGCCTGCAGGCACTGCCCCCCCGCGCCGCCCCTCAGCTCTCATTGGCCAGGAATGGGGAACTGTGGCCAATGGGAGCTTCAGGGGTAGTACCTACAGGTGAGGGCAGCGTGTGGCGGAGCCGGCTGCCCCACCCCACCCCCAGGAGCTGGCCACTTCTGGGAGTATATTTTAATTGTCAAAATAACACAGAAACGCAACAACAATATAATCACACCATTTTCAATTATTTTGGTAATTTATTTCAAAATACTTGTGGGCAAATAATTGAAAATGATGTGGATATATTGTTGTTGCGTTTCTGTGTTATTTTGACAATTAAAATATGCAGAACTTTGCAGATTTTTAAATTTTTGGTGCAGAATTCCCTTGAGCATTAGGGGTCTGTGTGGCGCAATCTGGGTGCAGGCAGCTCGGTGTGGGGTTCTGGATGCAGGGGGAATGGGACTCTGCAGGGAAGTCCAGATGAAGGTGGTTAGGGCTCAGTGTGCGTGTGTGTGTGCGCGGGGGGAGGATGTGTGGGGGTCAGGGTGCAGCTGTTCAGTGGGATGGGGGTCTGGGTGTGGGGGATCCTGATGCAGGGAGTGAGGCTTGGCCGGGTAGGGATTTGAGGGTCTCAGTCAGGGGTTCCGGGTGCAGCGGGTTCCTGATGCAGAGGGGGCTTGGGGGGGGGGGGGGGTCACTGTACAGGGAGCTGTGCTCCCTGTCCGCCCAATCCCCGTGCATCTAGACGACCCCCCCTCCCGCTGCACAGAGACACCCCCACACACCCCCATGGTGCAGAACTTCCTGTAGCCAGGGGAAGTTTCTGGGGCTTGATCTGACCCAGCCCTGGCTGCTCTATGCAGGGAAGGGGGAACTCCATCTCAATCCTCCTCTTCCTCCCCCACCCCACCCAGCTGAGACTAGAATATTAGGGTTGGAAGAGATCTCAGGAGGTCATCTAGTCCAATCCCCTGCTCAAAGCAGGACCAACACCAACTAAATCATCCCAGCCAGGGCTTTGTCAAGCCAGGCCTTAGAGGTTTTTAAGGATGGGGATTCCACCATCTCCCTGGCCTAGGTAACATCCCTGGGCGGCCAGCGCATCCCCAGATCCCACTTCCCCCAGTGATTTACCTCTCTCTCTGGCTGCCCGAACAGAAGCATCTGAGCTGCCAAGCTGCCAGGGAGGGTGAGTGAGTACTGATGCAGCTTCTCTTTACTTCCCCTCAGAAACCATTTTCTGCAAGGAAGCAAAGGAATCTGTGGGGAGGTTTTGGACCTACTACCTTGGGACCCAATGCTGCGAAAACTAAGCAAATCAGCACTACCAAGAGTCTGCAGTTTTGGGCTCCTAATACCACAGCATTTCTTGTGCAATTGTGGTTTACTGGCATTCTCACTGTGATAGGAGAATGCTCTGGAAATCACTTTCTTCATTGCTCTGAAGATGGAGTGTGTTGACCTTCAGAAAATACGGCATGGCACTTTTACTCCCTCAGACCTTAACTTCGTAAGAAATGTGTGTGGGTTGGATTTCTTCAGTGGGTAGGTTTGAACGTGTTTTGGATAGCTTGTGCCAGTTTTGGTGATTTACATTTTGTAATAATTGAAAATCACTTTAAAGAGTCACAGAGTTGTTAGTAAGGGCATATGTTTTGAAACATTAAAAAAGTAAAAAAGATAATTTTATAATTTAAATTGCATGCCCAGTTCGTGCATAATCTTTTGTTTGTTTGTGGCCAGTGCTTTTTATTTAACAATAAAAATCCCAGTCTTGTGAAGAGAGGGAAACGCCATCCCATGATACACACTGCGGTACACCCCAAGAATGTGAAGTGTAATTAAAATTCTTCTCTGTGCGGCATACAGTGGCAGGGTGGCTGTTAATACAGGATTTATGACTTGCTTTATTATGAACCTGAATCATAGGAAGTTCCAAAAATTCAACTAACTGTGATAAAAGAATAGGATTGTTGTTGCTATTGTTGTTTGTATTGCAGTTATGGCCCAGGACCCCCTTGCGCTAGGTGCTGTACAAACACAGGAAAAAAAGACAGTTCCTGCCCCAAAGAGCTTCCAATCTAAGTACAAAACAGGTGGAGACAGACAGACAGGGGAGTACAAGGAAACAATGAGACAAAATTGGTTAGTATATTAGGCAGTGGTCTTAGCAAACCGTTGCCAAGTGTTTTGTCGGCTTTGGGGCAAAAGTGTTTTTTTTTAAAGGAGGGATTTGAAGGAGAACAATGAAGTGGCTTTTCGGATGTGTATGGGGAGCCCCTCTGAAGCAGTGAGGGGCAGCATGGGAGAAAGCACAGGTGCTTATTTGAAAATTTAACGAGTGAGTGATGGATGCTGGCATCATGGGCCAGTCGGAGGCTAGTGAATGAGAGATGGATAGGCAGAGTAGGGATAGACAGTTAAAGGCTTTACAAGTGAAGATAAGCAGCTTAGATTTGATGCAATAGCGAAAGGGGATGCAGTGGAGGGATGGAAGAGAGAGGTGATGTGGTCAAAGCAACAGGCTAGGAAAAGGGTATTCGCAAGAGCATTCTGAATGGATATGAGAAGGGCAAGACTGCAGCGGCAGCCGATTTAGCACAGTAGCGAAGACAAGCCCTTAGAGTTGTGTAAGGCATGTGGCTTTGTACCACATGACATTTTGATTAAAAACTAGAATGATCTAAAATTAACATGGCACACATTAAATTGATTAAAAACTGTATAGTTGATAGGTCTCAAAATGTAATTGTAAATAGAAAATTGTCATCGAGTGGGTGTGTTTCCAGTGGGATCCCACAAGGATCGATTCATGGCCCTACACTAATATTTTTGTCAATGACCTGGAAGAAAACATAAAATCATCACTTATAAAGTTTGTAGATGACACAGAAATAGTGGGAGTGATAAATAATGAAGACAGGTCACTGATTCAGACTGATCTGAATTGCTTAGTAAAGTGTGTGCAAGCAAAGTATTTTAATATGGATAAATGTAAATGTATACATCTAGGAACAAAGAATGTAGGCCATATGTACATGATGGGGGACTATATCCTAGGAAGCGGTGACACTGAAAAAGCTTTTGGGGTCATGGTGGATAAACAGCTGAATGTGAGCTCTCATTGTGATGCTGTGGCCAAAAGAGCTAATGCAATCCTGAAATGCATAAACAGCGGAACCTCTGGTTTATAACCCTATATTTTACCTCTGTCAATAGCCCTGTATTCTATCTCTGTATTTGACACTGGTGTGATCACTACTGGAATATTGTATCCAGCTCTGGCACCCACAATTCAAGGATGTCAACAAATTGGAGAGTTCAGAGAAGAGACATGAGAATGATTAAAGGATTAGAACACATGCCTGATAGTAATAGACTCAAAAAGGTCAATCTATTTAGCTTAACAAAGAGAAGGTTAAGGGATGACTTGAGTACAGCCTATTAATATCTACACAGGGAATAAATATTTAATAAAGGGCTCTTCAGTCTAGCAGAGAAAGGTATAACATAATCCAATGGCTGGAAGTTTAAGCTAGACAAATTCAGACTGGAAATAAGGTGTAAATTTTTAACAGTGAGAGTAATTAATTAGGCTAAGATTTTGTTACGGATATTTTTAGTAAAACTCACAGACCGGTCAGGGGCAATAAATTAAAATTCACGGAAGCCCATGATCTGTCCCTGACTGTTACTAAAAATATTCCATGATAAAATGGGCACAGGCTGGGCAGCTGCAGGGTGGCTGGGAGCTCTGGGACCCCACCACCTGTGGGGCAGAAAGCTACAGGGTCTCCCTGCCCCCCCCCCAGCAGCGGGGAACTCCGGGGTCCCCGTCACCCTCAGCAGCTGGGACCTGCAAGGTACCGCCGCAGCCTGTGGCGGCTGGGAGCTGCGGGGTACCCCCACCACCCATGGCGACTCAAAGCTTGGGGACCCGCTGCCTCAGGTGGCGGGGGTACCTCACGGCTCCCCGCCGGTGGGGGAGGTGGCAGGACCCTTCAGCTCCTAGCTCCCAGGGCTGAAGTCACAGAGGTTTTTGGAAGTCACGGATTCCGTGAATTCTGCGACCTCCATGACGAAATCATAGCCTTAATAATTAACCATTGGAACAATTTACCAAGGGTTGTGGTGGATTCTCCAGCACTGACCATTTTTAAATGGTGTTTGGATTTTTTCTAAAAGGCATGCTCATTGTGAAGTATTTTGGGGAAGTTCATAATGGTCCCTTCTAGCTTTGTAATCTATTAATTGTATGCATTTGTCAGTATTGTTTTCCATAATGCTTATGGACATATCCTATTTTTATTTTTTACAGGAACAATGTTTAACCAAATGGCAAAATGGGTACAATGTGACAACGAAACTGGCATATACTATGAGACCTGGACAGTTCGAGCAAGTCCTGACAAGCATGCGGTAGTGTGGTTTGAATCTTATGAATGCTCGAAATTTATATTAAGAACATACCAGAAGTTGGCTGATTTAGGGGCTGTATTTAATAAGATACAAACAAATTACACCAGCATTACTTTGTTTACTGGAGAACCCATTTATTTGGGGAATGAAACATCTATTTTTGGACCTCTAGGAAACAAGACGGTGGCTGCAGCCATAAGAGATTTCTACTATCTATTCAAACCTCATCAGTCTGTTGAAGAGTTCTTCTTGAATGTCTTAAAAATAGTAGATCAGGTTGTCTTGAACCACCAGTTTTACCTCTTTTACAACTTAGAATACTGGCTTTTACCTATGAAGTCCCCTTACATCAAAATAACTTATGAAGAGATCCCTTTACCTAATGAAGACTATATGAAGGTTGGTTTGTAATTATTTCATTAGTACCAAAAATGCCCTTTCTCCCAGATGTTCCTAAGGATGTTGATGTTATATTGGTACGATTACTGCAGAAATGGCAGCTCCTTATACTGTATCTGCAGTGAGAAGGCTTTTTTGAATGTAGGTTCTATGTATATTCATTGACTCTTCACGCAAGGAAGGGCAGAACAAAGAGTCCCCTGCTTGCTAGCTGCATTACAGCCCCGGAATTCTCAAGGGGTTTGGACCTGTCATTGACCACATGACTGCCAATCATCTGCTTCTTCTTAAGGATGGGAATCTGTAGGAGCTGGTTACCAGCAGACACAGGGGCTTGCTAGCTTGACTCCATCAAAAATGTACCTTATACCCATTGGAACAGTGTATATTTCATATTTGAAAGGATGGAACTGGGACCAGTTGTCCTGGAACATGATGAAGTCAGCAGACATGGAAATGGGTTGAGAGCTGTTAGTAGATTACAGCTGTCATGCTGATGACTCCTTTGTTAGAAGGTGGTGGTGGTGATGTGCAAAGTCTGACTCTGGTTCTAGGGAGTTAGCGTCTGAACACTTTGCTGTTGGTAATCTGCTGAGGTGATGGGTATTGATGAAAGAGGAATAATCGCATCTAATTTGAGCTTGCAGTCTGTTTGTGTAGTACTAGGATTTTATGGTTGTATTTTGTCTAATTTTAGAATGAAGGATAAAGTGTGTATTAAATGTATTGATGTATGATATGATTTGACCATATTCTGCCAGCCATCTTTCTGAAAGCAGAAAGGAATGGCCTAGTGTGCCATTGGTAAAGATGCATCAGCCAGAATCTTGTGTCTGAAGCTGATTTCAAGGCAGTAATAGACCTTTAGGGTCACCACTTTGTTGTAGGTTTAAAATTAGCATTTTGAAATAAGTAAAATAATGCAATGATTGTTTTGTGCTGCATTGCAATTTGATGTTCCTGTTCAAATGTTCTGTGTAAATCATTCCGGTTTTGTGTGTGAATGAGGAATGTGTGTTTTAGAAGATAAGTATAAAGGCCATCACCGGACCAGATGTTCTAGGGAAGAACCAAGAACAGAGATAAAGGCGCCAGGAGATTGCAACATGTCCCTATTGAGATGTCAGAGGAGAGCAGATTGACGACTCTAAAGATGAAGCAGGCACCTATCAATCAGGACAAGATAGCTGTGATCAAAATCAGCATGGGGTAACTTCCTGAGAGACTGATGAAGGAACAAGATAAAGGATGAGAAGAACAATTTAAGAAAACAAGCACTCGTCAAATGGCGATTGATTACAGCATGACAGTGCAAAATTCATTGGTCCCAATGAAGAAAGATCACTATATAAACAGGGTGCTTTGTCATGAAACTTTGGGTTCGTCCTGCCAAGACTTCCCCGGAGGATCGTGTTGCGACCAAGAGAACCCGGCTCCTCCGTACCTGTGATCAGCCCAGCTGGCCACTAGGTTGCTCCGGACTCTGAACTGGTAACTATAACATCGACTTGTGCGTGTGATTGAATGCATATGCTAATTGTTGTATTGCCAATAAGTGCGGCATATTGCATTTTCCCCTGAAAAAGATCCTGTGTGTTTCTTATAAGCATGACATTTGGAACTAGTGACTGGTTACAGAAGCAACATCAAAACTTGTAAATTTGTTAATAAAGATTAAAATATTTGGTCTAATAACAGTGGGTAGCATTATTCCTTTCATGTAAATGAACACTCTACTCTGGAATATGCTAACATAGCAGTGGGGGTAGAGCTGCCAGGGTACGATTATAAGGGCCTATGTTAGACCTGTATTATACAGCCCCTTCTCCCTCTGACAGCTCCCCCCTCTGTCTGCTACAATTACTACATTTTCCCCTAACATTCAGTATAGTTTACATTGTAGAAGACCTAGCAAATTTAAGGCATCAATCAGTGAAATGCATTACCGAACTTGCCAAATAAAAACTAGAGACTAATAGCTAGAACTTTTGGCCAAAGGAGGAGGTTGCAAGCCTCAGGTAGTTGATGTTTGGTACATGGAAGCCCTGCATCTTTTCTTCTTCTTTTTGGGCATGTTGATTCCAAAGTAGCTGCTTCACTCAGTATCTGCCACTGCCTCCAACAATAGTACAGTTATCTTGATGATTCTGCTCTAAAGACTAGCAAATAAAAATTAGTGTTGCCAGTTATGTTCAATAGATTCTAGCATGGATAGGAGCAATTTCATTTTAGAGCTATTGTCTAAAGCAGAAGTGGGCAAACTATGTCCTTCGGGCCACATCCAGCCCGTGGGACCCTCCAGCCCGGCCCCTGAGCTCCTGGCCCGGGAGGCTAGTCCCGGTCCCTCCCTCCCAGGCTAGTCCCTGTTTCCCCTCCCCCGCAGCCATGCCCCAAGCCGTGGGCGCAGTGCTCTGGGCGGCCAGGCAGTGCAGTTGCAGAGCTGCAGCCTGACTTGGTGCCCTGGGCGGCATGGCTGTAGCACCGCCAGCCACCAGCGCCCCAGGCAGCGCGGTCAGGGGACAGGGGGGTTGGATAGATGGCAGGGGAGTTCAGGGGTGTGGTTGGGGGTGTGGATAGGGGTTGGGGCAGTCAGAGGGCAGGGAACAGGGGGGTTGGATGGGGCAGAGGTCGCAGGGGGGCAGTCAGGAATGAGGGGGGGATTGGATGAGGCGGCAGGGGGCAGTTGGCGGCGGGTCTGGGGAGCAGGGAGTGTTACTATGGGGAGGAACAGTGGACATCTCTCCTCACTTCCCCTGGAGCAGCAGCTCTGGCTGCTGCATTGCTTACCAGCCTATAGGAGCCTCAAGTAGGACAGCTTGACTGGCCCTGCCTGAGCTTAAGGGAGCTTCTAGCAAAGGATGGCTTCCTTCTGTATGGAGCTTCCCGGGAGAGATTAAGAACCAACAACCAGTTATAGATGACTCCCACGTTATCCACCCCTGCCTTTCGTCTCCTTTGATCTTTCAGTCTGACTTTAAATTTGTCTCCTTTGTTTAGGCCTTAGGGGTGATTAGCACTAATTTCAGCAATATAGGAACAGAGTATAACAATATAGTTGTCAGACTAGTGGTCCACCTCATCCAGTATTCTGTCACTTTAAAGGCTAGTCCCAAATGTTTCAGAGACACCCTGCAGCAGGCACCTATAGAATAAGCAGCTTCCTGGAAAATTCGTTCTCACCCCTGAGAGGCCTAAATCGTGAGGGTTTAATATCCTTGACAAAACAGTTGCATTTACTGTAACTAACTACTCTGCATATTCCTGTGAGCCACATAAATCCTGACCCTTTGATCCACTGAGGCTCTTGGGCTCACTGAAATCCTGTGTCCAACAAGCAGTGTTGCATCAATGCAAAACCCTATTGTGGATAAAGGCTAAGATTTAAAAAAAATTGGGAGCCTAAACATAGGCTTCTAAACAACAAATATGATTTTCAGCCAGACTAAGCAGAGTGTTCCTCCCCTGCATATCAATTAAACAAAAGCCAACAACATACTTGGCCAAGGAAAGCTTGAAATGTGGGGTAAACTCTGCCAATGAAGATCACGGGTTTGTTCTAGTAAGAAGTAGTAGCAGCAGCAGTTATTGAAATTAGGGCTAGATAAGACCTTACTAATGTTTAGTGAAGTGAATCTTTAGAGAATACTTTCTTCTTTTTGTAGACAAACGCCAAGAATTTACCAGTTTGAAACTCTACTCTTGCCTCCCTGCCTTTCATTAAGTATGGTTTGAGCAGGTTAGGCTGGCAACATGAAAATTGCAGTGCCTTACCTGAAAATTTCCCGTGGAGTAATGAGGGCCACAGATCCATGATGTTGAGGATCTCTGCTTTATGCAGCTTTGGAGGAACATCTTACCGTTCAGTCACTGGCAGGGCAAAATCTGCCAGCTGAGACGTTTCCACAGCCTAGACAATATCTAACCACTCTGTATCAGGCCATGTCTGCACTACAAACTTTGATTGATACAAGTTACATTGGTGTACAGCTGCCAAAGTTAGTATAGCGCTTGTTGGTGTGCATGCTTGGGTCAGCACAGCATGTACTTACCAGGAGTGCTTGTGTTGATGCAAAGTGTGATGCACCATGGGTAGGTAGCCCAGTGTGTCACATGCCACCGTTTGGCAAAATGCCTTGTGGGAAATTTTCACATCTGGTGGGGTTAGATCTCTGGGAGCTGGTGGTCAAGTTTTCAGCATGCAACTTTCACCATCCCATAATGTTATCCAAAACCCATAATTTTCATGCCATTTTAAAAAATTCCACAAACCTGAGGAGCACCTTTCTGGCAGCCATCCACAACAGCAGTCCCCACAGCTTTGCACTAGTCGCAGGTGTGTTGCAAATACAGGCTGCACAGCCCTCCTGTACTGGCAGACCTGCAGAAAGGACCATTACAGGGATATAACAATTTCTTCAAGGAAAGATTGCTAAGGGACATAGTGAAAAACAATTCAAGGTGGTTGTTGGCATACATGTAGTAGTTGTGGATGATGGAGCACTGCATCTGGACCCAAGAAATGAGCACTGACTTGTGGGATTGTATCATAATGCAGGTTTGGGACAATGAGCAGTGGCTGCAGATGTTCCTGCTGCTGTGGCCTGAGCAATCCCAAGTCCTGCAGCGAAGGGACATTCAAATCAGAGCTGCACGCTGGTAGATGAGAAGTGCAGGGCGATTGCACTCTGGAAGCTTTTAATGCTGGCTTGCTACCCATCAGTGGGCTATGATTTTGAATTGGAAAATCCAATGCACAGCTGTAGGGCCATCAATCATCTCCTGTTACACAGCAAGGTGGTTCCTGAACTGCAGTGGGTTGATAGATGGCGTGGACATCCCTATTTTGGCACCAACCCTTCTTGCAACAGAGTACATCAACAGAAAGGACTCCTTTTCTGTGGTTATGCAAACACTTATGGATCACTGGGGATGCTTCAGTGATATCAATATGGGCTGGTCATGGAAGGTGCATGATGCTCACATCTTTAAGAACACAGAACTGTTCAGACATTCTTTCCCAACTGGCAGATTACTATTGGTGATAATGAAAGGCCAATAACTCTGGGAGCCCCACCCTACCCTTTGTGCTCCTGGCTCATGGCCACCACGACAGCACCAAAGAAAGAGTCAACTACTGCCTCAGTGGGTGCAGTCTGACTGGGCTTTTGGTAGACTGAAGGGACCCTGGCAGTGTTTACGCACTAGATTGGATCTCAGTGAGAAAAATATCCCAATGGTTAGAGCTGCCTCTTGTTGCTTGCATAATAGCTGTGAGACAAAGGGTATGACTAAGCAGCAAAGAAAAACCGTGGCTGGCCTGTGCCAGCCGACTCGCATTGGGATTGCAGGGCTGTTTCATTGCTGTAGGGTCGTAGTCTGGGCCTCAGCTCAGCCACCGAACTCTATGCAGCTCTGAAACAGCTCCACAGCCTGAGCCCTGTGAGCCTGAGTTGGCTAGCGCAGGCCAGCCCCAGGTGTGTTGCTGCTGTGTAGCCCCAAAGGGACAGCAGCTGCCACTGGCATGGGCAGTAGTTACAGTGACTGTCCACTGAGTTTGAGCCGCCAGACACAAGGGTCATTACAAGAGCTCAACAAAGTAGTTGAGGAAGGTTTTGAAAGAACACTTCAGTGGGCAGCCACAGTAGTGTTCTGTGCGGAATTGTTCTCTGTGTCTGAAGCTTTTGCTACTGCTAGGAATTGTGTAGGGCTTGCTGTACATTTATAAATATGATTTTTTTTTAACCTATGGGCTCTGTGGTGCTCTACCATTACAAGTAGTGGGTGCTTTGACTAGTACTATGCATTATACAATGTGTTGTGAACGGATATTTTATTTTTAAAAACTACAACTGTATCGATTTGATAAAAACAAATTGTGAAAAATAGGTTTACTGCAATGGTTCCACTCAAACTTTTCACACAGGGGCATGTCCTACCATGGAGGAAGAAACAAGGAAGCCATCCCTATACATTTTTGAGAAAGAATTGCAAAGTAGCTCTGTGAAAGTTTCATCAAGAGCTCTCAAGAGAATACGAGGATGTCCCGCTGTGCATAAATAAAGTACTTCACATGGCCACCCTCACCAAATGTGACAGGGGAAGTGAAACGCAGATAACTCTACCCCTGTTTGTTGAACAAGTAAAACACTGAAAAGTCAATTTGTGTGTCATGGCAGCTTGGGGATGAGCTGGGCACCATCTTTAAATTTAAACATTGTAAGGGAAAATATATGCACACACTTCCCCTTCAGCAGGCTCATCGGTGTTTGGCTAGTCAGACGAGCTAGACTGCGGTGGGACTTGAACTGATCATGGCTCCTAATATGGCTGGACCACCCCTCCTCGCCCGGGTGTGTCTCCCGCTCACTGACCATGGCAAGGATCTCTGGCTTGGGCTCCTGCAAGATGTCCATAGTGTTTTATGGGGTGTTTTTAGGGTCTCTAGTGTGCAGCTCTTTGTAGACACAAAATCCGCAGCTCAGCACCAGAGTGCTTGGTGGACTTCCTGCCCTTGCCACAATTCCTTTGTTTTCATGGGGCACTGCTGCTGCTCCCGAGTATGCCTTTTCCTGCATCCCCGATGCAATCTTTTTGCAGATGTCCACATTTCTATGGCTGGCCTGGCAGACTTTTCTCCCTACAGGTCCAGAAAAGCTGAGAGCGCCTGTCTACTCCAGGCAGGAATGTGTCAAGCT